TTGCAACAGGTTGCTTACACAACAACAGAGACATTGCTGTTCTCTGGTTTTGACAACTTTCCCAGATGACCAACTTGGCTATCTACTATTTCATTACATTTAATTGAAATATGTGTAGTTTTTGTCAGCCAGTATCAGTATCTCAAAGAGCTAAGCCAGGGATAGCAATCTTTGCATGTGCCATTACATGATTTTGCAAGATTGCATAGTTCAGTAAATAAAGTTAACTTTAAAAGTCCAAGTTCTTGGGAGATTTTAGCTTTCTCACTCCCAGATCTTGTGAAATTTTGGAGATCAAGCAAGGTTTTAGCCATTTGTTTTTGGTGTCCTCCTGATAACAGAAGATGGCATTGTGCGTGACAAGGCCCTATGGGTGCTGGAGTGCCAAGCCCAGGGCTCAGTGCATAAAACAGAAACAAAACTTGCCTTCAGGAAAAATCATAACTATTCTATTTGCTCAAGAGTAGTAGGAACCTCAGAACCATACTACCTGGTTTCTTTTGGAGCTACTTTTTCAGTTGTATACTATGCATACACAAAGAGCAATGGGAGAATATTCTTTGAGGATGTAGTCTTTCCTTTCTCCCAATCTGTCAGTCAGCAATAAACATACAGAATATTCTGAATCTGAAATGTCGATCCTGTTATTAAATCATTGTGATCTTTTTAGAAAGCCCTCATATGATTTTTGTGGGCCTAGACAGGCAATGATTGTAGCTCTATGAGTAGCAATAATCACATGTGCTAAATTGGTTGGTCAATCCATGAACAGAGTTAGTCTTCATGTCTGCATTTGCACTTTCAGAGAAAAGAGTAAAATGCTATCTGTAAGAACTGCATGAGAAGTATTTTGGAACAAAATTAGATTTAACTGAATATTTCATCCTCTCCAAATCATTAAATAATTTGTATGGATTTTTCCTTTATTGAATCATCCTAGATTTTCTTAAAAACAAATAAAATTATATTCTTTTAGAAATAGTGGTTATTTCCTGCAAAAACTGACATAGCACAAGAGTTGCTAAGTTCTTCCTCTCTGGTGTTCTGTTTTGTATAATCATCCATGTTGTTTTGGCAAGCAAGGCTTATGTGAGCAGAACCCTAAGGGATTCAAGACCAATGTGGCTGGAGCTGGCATTAGACATTTCAGCAACACTTGAGTGTCCTACTGTTGCTGGCAAAGTCAACAGTTCCTAAGTTCCCCTATTGGGATGTGTGCTCTTTCTCTCTTTAGATACATTCTCTGTGTTACAATGACTGTCACTTCTCAGTCAGCATGAAGGATAGGACTCTGGAGTATGACTTCTCTATACTGGCCAATAGCACCTTTTTTTTAGGAGGGCCAAGCTTTACTTCAAAAGGCCTGAAGTATTTTCATCATTTCAACATCAGTCTATGTGGGAATCATGTAAGTATATGTGTATTTTCATGAGGCAAGGCTACACGAGAAAATGTATTGGAGAAAGTATCTTTTGTCCACTTAGAGTATCATCAAACAAGGGATGCAACAGTCTTGTATTTTATCATATAATCATATCTGCATCCTCAGTGACTTCCCATCCTTCAGTTTAATCCATAATGAAATGCCTCCTGGGGGAGTGGGGGCAGTGTGTCAGATCAGGGAGCATAGGCAAACAGGGTGGCCACAGAGAGTGTCAGAGAGATGTGTAACAGAAAAGAAAAATACCAGCATTTTTGACAACCTCATAATAATAAACTGAAAATAAATCTTAAAGCACTAATGAAGGGAAAAAAGGCCTCTTTTGTTGAGAAAAGAAACCTTTGGAAAGTTGGAAGACAGTTTTTTGCAAACTATTAATTTTCACTGCATTTAAGCAAATGCAAACAGGAAATTCCTCTAGACTTCCTACTTAATGTAGGGAGGTGGGGTTGTTGGACAGAGAAATGTGTTTGTCCATGAGGCTCCTCCCCTGTGCATCTTTTGAACCCCAATTCTGCAGCACAATGCCCATAGACTTTCTATGATTACAGTATTTCAAAAATAACATCACGGTTTTTAATGGCAATGAGAGACAGGGTTGCTATCAACTCTCTCTTTTTCTTTTTCCCTGAAGGGAAGGAAGACAGCTGTCTGCACAGATAACGTCACAGATATTCGTATTTTAGGCAAAGACACTGACTTCTCCAAGTCAACTTCATCCTATGTATGCCAGTCCATCATCATTCCTTCCGATGTGATGGGTTACAAAACAGTGGTTTCTTCTCAGCCTGTGAGCCTGGCAGACAGCTTTGTGGGTGAGAGCCACTAAAAATGTTAGCCTGTCCATTGAACAGAGTCAAAAGCTGTTACCAGATGGAAGTGCCATATGGGTGATCCTTCATAATACTGAGCCAAATCTGGTCCAGTATTGGCAGAAGTCTTTAATCGCTGGAAAAGAGGAACAAGAACACTATATAGAGAATATTGGGTGGGAGGGTCTTTTTTTCTTTAAAAAGTTGTCCATCCTCTGTTCTATTTTCCATCATGCCTCTGCAATTCTTTGCAGAATTCTTCCTCTACAGCTGCTTAAGGCTCACCAATTCCCTTTTTACCACCCCCAGGGTTCTCTCCAGTCACAGTAGATTAAAGTTGTGACACAGCTTCTGGCTATTAATTTTGTAATGTTGTTTTTAAAAACAGCAAAGAAAACCTCCTCCTAAATTCAGAGAGGGAGAAAAAAAACCTCAGAACATTTTGGCCACATATATACTCAGACTAGAGCCCTTCCCATTTGGCATCATCATCCTGCTCATAGTGGCTGTCAGCTCCTTCCTCCAAGTCACCAAAAGGTTACCTGTGCCTGTACCTCCTGGCACTTTTTCGCTTTAGTTCCTTCTCCTCCAAATAGAGTTTTGTTTTCAAATCAGTTCTTAGAAAAGCAAAGTTGCAGCTATACCGTTCCTCATGCTTTACTTCCCTCCCACCCCTTCCTTCCTCCTCCTTTTTTAGACTACTGTTTTGGAACTGGCAAATGAGTAGCCAAAGACAGGCCACATACTGTTAGCTACATGATATAGAAAATAATTCAAGGCTCTCATTCTGGTTTCAATTTCTGAGAAAGACTGTGGACAAAACAAACTTATTTGTCAAACACAGTAATTAATACAAAGTGGGATTTACCTTCTGGTGCAGAAAACCTTTAACTTAATATATTTTGGGGAACAAAATGTATTTATCCTTAGAATGTACTTGGAATATTCTCTGCCTTTCCTGTGTGGTGATATTCTTACTGATTTGGATTTAATCTCTAGGAGTAACAACAAAGCCCATTCTGGACAACATC